TATAACACAAAATTATTATATTATATAATAGCGTCTGTAGCCTTATATCAATTCATATTAAACATTCAGTACTTGATTGTCCTCATCGATGGCATGCTGTCTATGAGGTTATTGATGTAATCCATCGTGATTTCTTCCCAAACTGTCACTAGAAAGCGCTGCAATTAAGCTGCAGTAGCTGGTTTAGGGTCGTGGATAGCAATTTTTTAGATTAGTTCTACCTAACAGTTCTCAATAGGACTATAATTTGGAGACTTTGCTGGCCATGGCAATCTTGTAACGTCCTCCTGGTCAAGATAATCCTGTACAATATGCACGTGCACTGTCGACAATGACATTGCAACATAAAGTTATTGCCAAATCTTGCTGTAGCATATGGCAGAAATATCGTCTCCATATGATGCCTGTAGGAGGCGCCATTGACGTTTCCCTGGTGAATAAGAAGAGCAGTTTTTGCACCATGATGAATAGCTGCCCAAATATGTACTGCCCCACCTCCTGTGAAATACAGTCTTCCCTCATGTGTTCTCTACGCAAACGACGAACATGAATCCTACCATCAGCTTTAGCAAGCTGGAAACAGGATTCATCTGAAGAAATGACATGTCGCCAGTGTCCCAACTGTAAGTTGGTATGCTGTCTTGTTCAAGTAACATGGTGACGGCAATGAATTATGGTTAATATCGGTTTGCAGGTAGAACTTCCTGCAAAATGACTTTGTTTGGCCAGTCTCCTTTTTACTCTTCTTCTGGATACCCTGGAATGAATGTGTTCATGCCATTCTTGTCGTAAGGTGTTGCAAGACTTCTTTCGACCTTGACGTGTTAACCTGATCAAAACACGGTAATCTCGGGCAGTAGTGTTTCGGCGTGTATCAGTAGACTTTCCTGGAACAATGTTTTCTGTAGTTCCATGAACGTTTCAGGATTCTGGATGCAGTACACTGGATTTTAACATTGTAAGTCCATAAACTGACCACTATACCACCGGGGGACTATTATGAACGAAACTAACTGTTTATCTCTCGACACTCCTAAGTTTTGTGGTGGTTATCTGGTATGTCCACTGCGGGGAATCGAACATCGGATTCTAACATTGTAAGTCCATAAACTGACCACTATACCACCGGGGGACTATTAGGAACGAAACTAACTGTTTATCTCTCGACACTCCTAAGTTTTATGGTGGTTATCTGGTGTGTCCACTGTGGGGAATCGAACACCGGATTTTAACATTGTAAGTCCATAAACTGACCACTATACTACCGGGGGACTATTAGGAACGAAACTAACTGTTTATCTATCGACACTCCTAAGTTTTGTGGATAAAAATATACAGTTGTTTTTGTATGGTTAGAAAAATAAATAAATTTCTTTCTTTTGATTTTCTGCAAATTATTAATGACAATGAACAGAAAGTGGATTTCTCCGTAAAACTTAAATTCAGATGCTGTATAATATGAAAGTTTAATGTAAACTTTTGCTATATAATAGCATTCTTCATTTTTTTTAACTTTTATTTGTTTTTAACCTTCTATATTTGCTGTGGGCACAGTGCATTGTGTAGCTTTGTACTTAATCTCGAAAAGAAACAAATTAATGTCATTAAGTTGACAAGTTTTCATTAATAATAATACATTTTATAAAAGACTAGAAAATAACTACTTAAATTTACATTCTTTAAAGTTTTTGCAGGTTTCGAACCAAGGATTACAGGGAGGAATCAACAGCTAAGATAAGAACAGAGAGAAAAAAAAGGCTGCAAAGAAATATGACCAAAAAGTCTTTAAAATGATTCTAGAGTGGATAAGTACATTTAACGGACTTATCTCAAAGATCGATTATATATACACTGAAGTGTCTATAAAAATCTCTTTGCAACTTAGATCTCAAGACCCTACCAACATGTCGTCTTTCCAGTTCGTGCCTAATAAAAAAGGCCCTGATAAGAAAGGCCTGCTTTTTTGCGCCTGATAAAAAAGGCCTACTTTTCGAAATAGTTAGGCTTATAGAGTTTCTTAATTATTTTTTAACCTACGTATTTTTTTAACATCATGAACATGTTGTTTTGGTATTATAAATCTTAATACCCTACGCCTCAAGACCCTACCTACGTGCTCCCATTGAAACTTAGATCTTTAGACCCTACCACCGTATTTTCATTACAACTGAAAGTTAAGGATCCTGTTGATTGCCACATTGAAATCACAGTTTTGTCATATATCTCAGTTCAGCAAGGAATTGTATTTCCCTAAGTATATCAATTCAAAGTAATTAAGTATTCATGTCATTGTTCGTGTGTTAATGATCTAATCATCTACCCTTCTTCATTAAATAAGTTAATCATCTTTTGTGTATCAAAGTATCCAAGTGTTCGTGTAATTATTCGTGTTTTAACCATCTTGTGCCACAGACCGAGCAACTGACCTTCTTATGGACCCTCTTCATCCTGATTGTGATTGGAAACGGCTGTGTCCTGATCACGTTAATGTTGTCGAAGAACAGAAAATCTCGGATGAATTTCTTCATCATGCAACTTGCTCTGGCTGGTAAGATCATTTAGAACCAATTTGGTTAGATCCAAGTACTAACAGACATCATATTTACCCAGATCTTCTTGTTGGTTTCATCCAAGTACTAACAAACATCATATTTTACCCAGATCTTCTTGTTGGTTTCATCCAAGTACTAACAGACATCATATTTACTCAGATCTTCTTGTTGGTTTCATCCAAGTACTAACAGACATCATATTTTACCCAGATCTTCTTGTTGGTTTCATCCAAGTACTAACAGACATCATATTTTACCCAGATCTTCTTGTTGGTTTCATCAAGTACTAACAGACATCATATTTTACCCAGATCTTCTTGTTGGTTTCATCCAAGTACTAACAAACATCATATTTTACCCAGATCTTCTTGTTGGTTTCATCCAAGTATTAACAGACATCATATTTTACCCAGATCTCCTTGTTGGTTTCATCCAAGTACTAACAGACATCATCTGGAGAACCTTTGTGGATTTCTATGGTGGAAATGCTGTTTGTAAAATAGTTCGCTACTTACAAGTAAGCACTATTAAGAAAGAACTGGCTATTAATAACATTGGAAGTTTAAACTTTTATCACAATTAAGGTAGGCAACTTTATTGTTCATTCTTTCAGATCAATAACATGATTTTATGTAAACTGTCATATATATAAGTTATAACATGTGAAGTTAGAAACATAATCTTAACAATTGTGGTCAACTAACCTCTTAAAGCATATACGATCTAACTACTTCAGTTTACCTCGAGTAAACTTTTACTTTAGATAGACTGTTTATCTAAAGATCACTATTAGGGTAGATAGATTATACTGTTGGTTTAGGAAGAATAGGCTGTTGGTTCAGTTAGAATAGATTGTTCGTTTAGCTAGAATAGACTGTTTGTTTAGTTTGAGTATACTGTTGGTTTAGCTAGAATAGACTGTTGGTTTAGCTTGAGTAGATTGTTGGTTTATCTAGAATAGACTGTTGGTTTAGTTTGAGTATACTGTTGGTTTAGCTAGAATAGACTGTTGGTTTAGCTTGAGTAGATTGTTGGTTTATCTAGAATAGACTGTTGGTTTAGTTTGAGTAGACTGTTGGTTTAGCTAGAATAGACTGTTGGTTCAGTTAGAATAGACTGTTGGTTTAGCTAGAATAGACTGTTGGTTTAGCTTGAGTAGATTGTTGGTTTA